TATTTTCTGTAATTCGGTATTTACAGTATTGGCTAGCGTGACTGGGCTCGGGTGAGAGAAGACGTATGTAGTGTCATCTGCAAATAGTGTGGGTTTGAGTAATTGCGAAGCATTTGGAAGGTCATTTATGTATAGGAGAAAGAGAAGAGGGCCAAGGACATTTCCCTGTGGGACACCAACTGTAATTGGTTGTGCAGAAGAGTTTGCCCCATTTGCGTACACATATTGGCTTCTGTTGCTGAGGTAAGACTTGAGGTAGTTGAGGGAGTGCCCTCTTATACCATAGTGTGACAATTTTACGTGGAGCAAGTCATGGTCAACTGTATCAAAAGCTTTACGTAAGTCAATGAAGATCCCCAGTGGGACTTCTTTTTTCTCTATTGCAGTGTATATATGTTCTAGCATGTGTATAATAGCATCATTAGTATTTTTATTAGGCCTGAATCCAAATTGGCAGGGGTTGAGTATGTTTTGGGAGATAAGGTAGGAGTAGATTCGTTTATGAATTAATTTTTCGAAGATTTTTGAGAGAGGGTGTAAGTTGGATATTGGCCTATAGTTATTCAACTCTGTTTGGTCTCCTCCTTTGTGGATCGGGGTGACCCGCATAAGATAAGATAAGATAAGATTTCGTTCGGATTTTTAACCCCGGAGGGTTAGCCACCCAGGATAACCCAAGAAAGTCAGTGCGTCATCGAGGACTGTCTAACTTATTTCCATTGGTGTCCTTAATCTTGTCCCCCAGGATGCGACCCACACCAGTCGACTAACATCCAGGTACCTATTTGCTGCTAGGTGAACAGGACAACAGGTGTAAGGAAACGTGTCGGAATTTACACCCGCCGGGAATCGAACCCGGGCCCTCCGTGTGTGAAGCTTAATGCCTCAAATGACGTAGTGGAAGTTTTAGCAGTAAAGGTCGAGAACCAAAACCTAGTCATTGTGGTAGTCTACAAGCCTCCGGATGCAACATCCCAGCAATTCCAGGAACAGCTGTTAAAAATTGACCACTGTCTGGAAAATCTTCCAGCTCCTGCACCCAACATCTTGCTCCTGGGGGATTTCAACTTAAGGCACCTAAAATGGAGGAATATAGCAAATAATATTGTTGCAGTAATAACACCAGGAGGCAGCTCTGATGAAAACTCACACTCACACGAGCTTTTAAATCTCTGCACAAAATTCAATTTAAACCAGCAAATAATAGAGCCTACTAGACTGGAGAATACACTAGACTCATCTTCACTAACAATGATGATCTGATAAGAAATGTCACCATATCAAAAAACAATATACTCAGATCACAACATAATTGAGGTTCAGACATGTATGCGTGGAGCCTCAGACCGACAAAATGAGACTAGTCACGAGGGAGCATTCACCAAATTCAACTTCAATAACAAAAACATAAAGTGGGACCAAGTAAACCAAGTCCTAACCGATATAAGCTGGGAAGAATATACTAAGCAACACAGACCCAAACTTATGCCTAGAACAGATTAACTCGGTGGCACTCGATGTATGCACAAGGCTTATTCCTCTAAGAAAAAGGAGGAGTAGATGTAAAATAGAAAGAGACAGGCGCTCCCTTTACAGGCGACGGAAAAGAATAACAGAGCGGCTAAAAGAGGTCAATATATCAGAAATGCGCAGGGAGGGCACTGGTCAAGAAATAGCAAGCATCGAACTTAAGCTAAAAGAATCCTTTAGGAGTCAGGAATCGCGGGGAAGAACTAAAAGCCATAAATGAAATCGAAAGAAACCCAAAGTATTTCTTCTCCTATGCCAAATCAAAATCGAGAACAACGTCCAGTATTGGGCCCCTACTTAAACAAGATGGGTCCTACACAGATGACAGCAAGGAAATGAGTGAGCTACTCAAGTCCCAATATGACTCAGTTTTTAGCAAGCCGCTAACCAGACTGAGAGTCGAAGATCAAAATGAATTTTTTATGAGAGAGCCACAAAATTTGATTAACACAAGCCTATCCGATGTTATCCTGACGCCAAATGACTTCGAACAGGCGATAAATGACATGCCCATGCACTCTGCCCCAGGGCCAGACTCATGGAACTCTGTGTTCATCAAGAACTGCAAGAAGCCCCTATCACGAGCCTTTTCCATCCTATGGAGAGGGAGCATGGACACGGGGGTCGTCCCTCAGTTACTAAAAACAACAGACATAGCCCCACTCCACAAAGGGGGCAGTAAAGCAACAGCAAAGAACTACAGACCAATAGCACTAACATCCCATATCATAAAAATCTTTGAAAGGGTCCTAAGAAGCAAGATCACCACCCATCTAGAAACCCATCAGTTACACAACCCAGGGCAACATGGGTTTAGAACAGGTCGCTCCTGTCTGTCTCAACTACTGGATCACTACGACAAGGTCCTAAATGCACTAGAAGACAAAAAGAATGCAGATGTAATATATACAGACTTTGCAAAAGCCTTCGACAAGTGTGACCATGGCGTAATAGCGCACAAAATGCGCGCTAAAGGAATAACAGGAAAAGTTGGTCGATGGATCTATAATTTCCTCACTAACAGAACACAGAGAGTAGTCGTCAACAGAGTAAAGTCCGAGGCAGCTACGGTGAAAAGCTCTGTTCCACAAGGCACAGTACTAGCTCCCATCTTGTTCCTCATCCTCATATCCGACATAGACAAGGATGTCAGCCACAGCACCGTGTCTTCCTTTGCAGATGACACCCGAATCTGCATGACAGTGTCTTCCATTGCAGACACTGCAAGGCTCCAGGCGGACATCAACCAAATCTTTCAGTGGGCTGCAGAAAACAATATGAAGTTCAACGATGAGAAATTTCAATTACTCAGATATGGTAAACATGAGGAAATTAAATCTTCATCAGAGTACAAAACAAATTCTGGCCACAAAATAGAGCGAAACACCAACGTCAAAGACCTGGGAGTGATTATGTCGGAGGATCTCACCTTCAAGGACCATAACATTGTATCAATCGCATCTGCTAGAAAAATGACAGATGGATAATGAGAACCTTCAAACTAGGGAGGCCAAGCCCATGATGACACTCTTCAGTCACTTGTTCTATCTAGGCTGGAATATTGCTGCACTCTAACAGCACCTTTCAAGGCAGGTGAAATTGCCGACCTAGAAAATGTACAGAGAACTTTCACGGCGCGCATAACGGAGATAAAAACACCTCAATTACTGGGAGCGCTTGAGGTTTCTAAACCTGTATTCCCTGGAACGCAGGAGGGAGAGATACATGATTATATACACCTGGAAAATCCTAGAGGGACTAGTACCGAACTTGCACACGAAAATCACTCACTACGAAAGCAAAAGACTTGGCAGACGATGCACCATCCCCCCAATGAAAAGCAGGGGTGTCACTAGCACGTTAAGAGACCATACAATAAGTGTCAGGGGACCGAGACTGTTCAACTGCCTCCCAGCACACATAAGGGGGATTACCAACAGACCCCTGGCAGTCTTCAAGCTGGCACTGGACAAGCACCTAAAGGCAGTTCCTGATCAGCCGGGCTGTGGCTCGTACGTTGGTTTGCGTGCAGCCAGCAGCAACAGCCTGGTTGATCAGGCGCTGATCCACCAGGAGGCCTGGTCACAGACCGGGCCGCGGGGGCGTTGACCCCCGAAACTCTCTCCAGGTAAACTCCAGGTAAACCAGGCCACCAGGCCATTCAAAGTCAAATTCCTGTATTTCCTTGCAAGTTTACACTGTGGTTGACATATTTTAGGAAGTATATTTACATAGGTAGTTTACAATGAGGGTTTACAATGATTTGTAGTGCAAAGAGAACCACTACCATGCCTTGGTATTACGGGCAGTCATGACTTATCCCGTGTCCGGCTTAATCTTTATAAAAACTCAATAGGCATAAAATGACCCAAAATCTGGGACTTCTTGCTAAAATTCTTCAGAGTCTCTCTTGCTATAGGACTGAAGAAGACTCTCGTGGCGGCACGTTTCCTCTAATTACTGTGCATAAGTCTCTTTTTCCACTTTTTGACTGCATAGAAACCACGGATCGGGTGGGGTTTGAACCCATGGCAAGAGAGTAGTGAAATTTCAGGCCAGTGCGTTAACTACTCAGCCACTCACCTCGAGTTTTAGGAATCACCTGCCATGGGTTCAAACTCCACCCGTTCCCTGGTTTGTTTACAAGAATGTTATTACTATTTCATGAGTCATGACATAGAAATTACCAACAAAAATTGGCTAAAGCTAAAGCTAAGGCTAAAGCTCCCGCTTCACACACGGAGGGCCCGGGTTCGATTCCCGGCGGGTGGAAACATTTCGACACGTTTCCTTACACCTGTTGTCCTGTTCACCTAGCAGCAAATAGGTACCTGGGTGTTAGTCGACTGGTGTGGGTCGCATCCTGGGGGACAAGATTAAGGACCCCAATGGAAATAAGTTAGACAGTCCTCGATGACGCACTGACTTTCTTGGGTTATCCTGGGTGGCTAACCCTCCGGGGTTAAAAATCCGAACGAAATCTCTCTCTCTCTCTAACTTCTGACAGTCTGACTGATAATTCAAACATGACATTGAATAATTCAAATGTTTTCACTGATCCTACTGGCTGAAATCTGACAGTGCTAGTAACCAAAAATAATAAATAATGGAAATAAACCCCATTCAGGGATTTATTTCCATTATTTATATACATAAAAATCTTCCCAAAATAATGGTTTCGAGATATTGGCTCCTAAAGAGTACATTGTATAGATATATGTTGATAAAGTTTTCAGCAGAAATAATTAGATGGAACTGCAATAAATATTAAAGTTTTATTTTATTTTATGTATAAGGTCAGTAAATATAGAAAATTAAAAATCTCACGAGACACGAATGCTGGAGGTGTCACCTAGAGTGCTATTATCCGGGCGTAGAAATAACTAGATTATAACACAATAAATATTGAAGCTTCATTTTATTTTACAGAGTCGAGAAAGCTTAATAAATAAAGAAAAATGAAAAAATCTGGCAAGACATGAATGCTGGAAGGGTCGTCTGTAGTGTTGTTGGGCCGCCGCTGCTGCTCCTGCCTTATTTTACCTTCATTTTCCTCTACTTTCACCATGTCCGAGGAATTAGATGAGATAAAGGAAGAAGGCGATGACTATTACACATTTCTCAACATTCCAAGAAACGTAAGTCCCGTAGAATGAGGAGATTTAACGTGATAAATAACGGGTGGTATATTTCCTAATATATTAACACTAACCTGGTAATTAACCTGTAAATACTTAACTATCATTGTAAATTGCTAAGTCATAATTAAAATGGGGTCCAGTCCTGGGTATGGGGGGATTAACACAGCTTTAACTGGGATTTAATGTAAATCCTTCAACAGTATTCCAGTCTAATTTTGATTTACAATTATGCAAATTATTGGCGATTATAATTGTCTTACAATGTAAAATATGTAAATTGGGTTGTAAATGGTATGGTGGTAACGAGAGAGAGAATGAGAGTGAGAATGAGAATTTCGCCACTCGTGGCGAAACGTTTCCTTTAAGGTTATATGTGTATTTGTACACATAATTACAATTATCATACATATTACATGTATAAATTACCTTTAATAAATGACCTGAGGGACCCCATCCAGGGGGTCCTGCTGCTTCAAGAACTACAATGGAAATAAATCACTTTTTTTTGGAGTTGTCCTGGGTAATTTACACAATAATAATAATAAGAGGACACCTATGGAAATAAGTCACTTTTATGGGTTATCTTAGGTAATTTACACACAGGTTACTACATATATGTAAAACAACCACTGTGAAAAAAAATAGTGAATTTCCCAGTGCTTTATGATTTCTCGCATTATTTATTTATTTATTTATTTGAACATGATACAGAGAAGTACAAAGGAATACAGTTATTAAAGTGCAACATGCCCTTAATAGTGTCCTTAATAGTGTGAGAATAATGAAAGCTCTTGGGCGTCTCGGTGGTCTGGTGGCTAAAGCTCTCGCTTCACACACGGAGGGTCTGGGTTCGGTTCCCAGCGGGGTGGAAACATTTCGACGTGTTTCCTTACACCTGTTGTCATGTTCACCTAGCAGCAAATGGGTACCTGGGTGTTAGTCGACTGGTGTGGGTCGCATCCTGGGGGACAAGATTGAGGACCCCAATGGAAATAAGTTAGACAGTCCTCGATGCACTGGCTTTCCTGGGTTATCCTGGGTGGCTAACCCTCCGGGATTAAAAATCCAAAGAAAATCCTGTCTTGTCTCTTGAATTTTCACTACTTTTTCACAGTGGTTGCTTTGCATATTGAGACATCACCTATTTACTGTGATCTTATTGCATATATTACTTTGTATATTAATTTGTGTAATTGTACAGTGGACCCCCGGTTAACGATATTTTTTCACTCCTGAAGTATGTTCAGGTGCCATTACTGACCGAATTTGTTCCCATAAGAAATATTGTGAAGTAGATTAGTCCATTTCAGACTCCCAAACATACACGTACAAACGCACTTACATAAATACACTTACATAATTGGTCGCATTCTGAGGTAATCGTTATGCGGGGGTCCACTGTATTTAAATGTACCAATACCTGAATAAACTTAATGATGATGACTTCATGAGGGGCAAAATGTGTCCTTTAAGCAAGTTTCTTTAGATACAGGTACACATGTATAGTTATCATACATAGTAACACATGTAAATTACTTTTAATAAGTGTCCTTAACTGTCCACTTTTCTGCACTTGTCACAGTTTTGTCACAGTTTTGCAGATAATACTAAAATAATTGAGTCACTGTTTACCTGGAGTTTACCTGGAGAGAGTTCCGGGTGTCAACGCCCCCGCGGCCCGGTCTGTGACCAGGCCTCCTGGTGGATCAGAGCCTGATCAACCAGGCTGTTACTGCTGGCTGCACGCAAACCAACGTACGAGCCACAGCCCGGCTGGTCAGGTACCGACTTTAGGTGCTTGTCCAGTGCCAGCTTGAAGACTGCCAGGGGTCTATTGGTGGTAGAAGACACTGAAAAATTACGGAAAGGCATAGACAGGGTTTTCCAGTGGGCAGTGGAGAACAACATGACGTTCACTGGTGATAAATTCCAACTGCTTAGGTATGGAAAGAATGAAGAACTCAAAAGGAACACTGTATACAAAATTCAAGAGGATCATCAGATAGAACAAAAGGAACATGTGAAAGACTTGGGAATAATTATGTCAGCTGACCTTTCTGTTAAAGAACACAATAAGACAAAGGTCATGACAGCAGGAAGATGATGGGGTGGGTATTGAGAACCTTTAAATAAAGAGACATAATGCCAGTGGTGACATTTTTCAAATCGCTTGTGCTCCCTCATTTGGAATATTGCTCGGTGTTGACAGCGCAGTTCAAGGCAGGAGAAATATCAGAGCTTGAACAGATAGATCATTTACAGCTCGCATAAAGCCAGTAAAGCATTTAAATTACTGGGAACACCTTAAAATCTTGAATGTGTATCGAGAGAGAGAGAGAGAGAGAGACATCATAATATATACTTGGCAGGCACTCAAGGGCCTGATCCCAAATCTGCACACTGCCATAACAACATACTGGAGCAAGAGAAATGGGAGGAACTGCAAAATAAACCCAGTGAAAAGCAGGGGTGCAGTGGGCACAATAAGGGAACACTGTATCAACATCCGGAGTCCCAGACTATTCAACAACTTAGCACAAGATATCAGAAACACTGCTGGAACAAGTGTAGAAGCCTTCAAGAGGAAACTGGACAAGTATCTTTACTAAGTGCTAGATCAACCAGGCTGTGATGGAAATGTGGGGCAGCAGGCCTCCAGCAGCAACAGCCTGGACCAGGCTAGCACCAAATGAGCCTGGCCCATGGCCAGGCTCTGGGAGCAGAAAGACTCTAGAAACTCATCAAAGGTAAAGGTATACACAGAATAAGCCATGAAAAATCTAAGTGTATTATTTCCATTGAGGTCCTTGACTTGTTTCTATGGGGTCCTGAACTGTACACAGGACAGAAGAATCCACTTAGGACAAAATATTTCCTCTAATAAATGTCCCAAACTGTACATAAGTATTTTTTTCCCACATCTTGTGTACCTTAACTAGGATAAGCCAGGAAAAAAATCAATGACTTATTTCTATTGGGTTCCTTGATTTCCATTGGCAAGGTAATAAAATTCTTAACCCCAAATGTGCTAATCCTGCAAGATTCCTACAACAAACTCAAAGCCACTCAAGCCTCCCATGTTAGTAAGCTTGCAGACCTGGAGAGTTCTCAAACTTCACAATTTGGAACCAGCCAATGATAGTTGCACAGGAGTGCAAGCAACTGTCAGCAGAATTAACTTAGTGAACTAATAGCTTCACTTAACACTAATATGGATTCTCTCATCAAGACAGGGACAGTGTTGTGTGACCCTTGTGGGTTTAGCCCTTAGTTTTATTTGTAATAATAATTGAGGAAGGGAAATCATACATGGATATACAGTTCATCAACTAACTCCAAAAATACAAAGACCAAATTGTGCTGCAACGGCTTGCAGATGCTGTTCACAATAGTCTTTTGCCTGGCTTTGTTTCTCAAGAGTCCTGTCTTGAGAATAAAGAATAAAAAGATACAGTACAGTGTCTGGAACAATACACAGATAACCTGCTCATAGGAGGAAACATGCTTAATATTTAACTTGTGCCAGGGAGCAATACACAGTCCTTCAGTGTGTGAGCTGAGGATGCTACCAACCCAGCCATGAGCACTCAACCTGTGTGGATCATTCAGCTTGAGGAGTCTTGGTGGAACTATCACTCTTTACATTATTCTCTAGACATAAAGCTACTTAACTTAACATGGATTCAGTGGGTTATCATAGGTTCAGTCTAAATACAATAATGTACATTTTATGTGCCCAAAACCTCTGGGTGTCCTCAGGACCATTGTCAAAAAAAAAAATTATGTGCTTGGTTATGATTATAAGTAAGTTAGTTTATTCAGGTATACACAAATACAGTTACATAGAAGTATCATACATAGCAGCATATGTGTAGAGAACCTAGAATAACCCAAAAAAGTCAGACAGAGTGACTTATTTCCATTGGGGTCCTTTTACCTTATTATAATATAAAGGTTATAATATTTTCTTATTATTCTATAATGAAGATAACATCTTATTATCATACTAAAAAGACTATCTACAATACGAGGGTCATTACTAGGAATAAGGTAAAATTTACACGTATGTTAGCTAAAAAATAGAAAATCATTCCCCTCCCTTTCTGTAGCTACATTCATCAGACACTTTTTGGCAGTCTTCTTGAACTGGTTCATGCTATGACTGGCTTTGACATGTACAGGCAGTCTGTTCCATTTCTTTATTGCTGTACAATACAGTGGACCCCCGCATAGCGACCTTAATCCGTGCAAGAGGGCTGGCTGTTATGCGAAATGTTCGCTATGTGAATGAATTTTCCCCATAAGAAATAATGGAAATCAAATTAATCCGTGCAAGACACCCAAAAGTTTGAAAAAAAAATTTTTACCACATGAAATATACATTTTCCTACACACAAAGAGAAGGATACATGCACAATAGTAGAGTAGTACATGCACAATATATATTGTGCATGTACTACTCTACTAAATGAAGAATAAATGACACTTACCTTTATTGAAGATGCAGCAATGACTGATGAGACACTGTGTCCTGGGAGTGCCTTTTCCTCCTGAGTACTGTAGGTCCTGTTTGGTATTTTCTTCCAGAACAGGCCTTATCACACTGTGTATGTCACTACGATTCTTAAATCTCTCAAACCAACCTTTGCTGGCTCTAAATTCACCAATATGAGCACTAGTTCCAGGCATTTTCCCTGTTCACCTGGGTGTTAGTCGACTGGTGTGGGTTGCATCCTAGGAGACAAGATTAAGGACCCCAATGGAAATAAGTTAGACAGTCTTCGATGACACTGACTTTTTTGGGCTATCCTGGGTGGCAAATCCTCTGGGTTAATTGTTTCTTGGTATTCTCAATAAGCCACACCAACAACGGTGCTACAGCAGCAGCAGCAGCAGCTGACGATGTTACAGCAGCAGCAGACGATGCTACAGCAGCAGCAGCAGCAGACGATGCTACAGCAGCAACAGACGATGCTACAGCAGCAGCAGACGATGCTACAGCAGCAACTGACGATGTTACAGCAGCAGCAGACGATGCTACAGCAGCAGCAGCAGCAGACGATGCTACAGCAGCAGCAGCAGCTGACGGTGGAACAGCAGCAACAGACGATGCTACAGCAGCAACAGACGATGCTACAGCAGCAGCAGACGATGCTACAGCAGCAGCAGATGATGCTACAGCAGCAGCAGACGGTACTACAGCAGCAGGAGCAGCTGACGGTGGTACAGCAGCAGCAGCTGACAGTGCAGCAGCAGCTGACGGTGATACAGCAGCAGCAGCAGCTGTACCACCAATAGTAGCGATGGTTGATTGGGGTTTATTATACAACCTGGCCAGCTCGGAGACACGCACTCCACTTTCATACTTATCAATGATCTTTTTCTTCATCTCCATAGTAATTCTCACCCTTATTGCTGTAGGGTTGGCACTAGAAGCTTTCTTGGGGCCCATGGTCACTTATTTTCCAGAAAAAAATCACCAAAAACACTGTAATAATACAAAATGTTCGATTGTATGCTTGGATGTTAGCGCGGAGGCTGGCTGGTAAACAATGCCACCCGCGGAACATGTGAGCGTGGCTCAGGCCGCACATTGGACGCGTCTCGGACGAAGGCCGCTGAGCGGGTTTTTGTCCACTATGCGGGGCAAAATTTTAGCGATCAAAGCGTCCGCTATGCGGATTGTCCGTTATGCAAGGCGTCCGTTATGCGGGGGTCCACTGTATAAGGTGTTTGAAGCCTGGCCACTGACTGTGGGTACTACAAAGTTGTGCTCTCTCCCCCTAGTACTATGATTGCTTTGGTTCCCAACCTTGACAAAATTGACAGCAAGATATTCTGGACACTGTTTGTGAGCAATTTTATAAACATGATTTAGCTTCAGTTGTTTTACTCTGTCTTCAACATTCAGCATATTCAACTGCTGTAATGTTATTAATACACAAAGTACATTCCACCAACTACATTAATTAAAGGCTTCCATCACCATGTACTGTACAGTATCTGAGAAACAAAACACACACATTCACTGCCATATACAGTAGTTAATAATATACTATCTATATTTACTGCATATACAAGGTATACAGACCATAGTTGACATCAGTGACACTACTATATAGAAAGCCCCTTGTTATGCAGAGCATTTTGGGCAAATTTGGTCAGTTTCATCCCAGGATGCAACCCACACCAGTCCACTAACACCTAGGTACCCATTTTACTTATGGGGAACGTAGACAGCCAGTGTAAAGAAACACGCCCAGTGTTTCTACCCTCGCCAGGAATCAAACCCAGACCCTCGCTGTGTGAAGCGAGAGCTTTAGCCACCAGGCCATGGGACACCAGGCACCCCTGTATCCACAATGGATACATTCCAAGATCTACCATGGCTACCTGAAACCGAGGATAGTAGCGAACCCTACCTATAAGTCATTTTCCTTTACATGACATACCTTTGATAAGGTTTAATTGATAAATTAAGCAAAAAAGTTTAGAATTAGCACTTTCACTTATGAGAAACATTTCACGGCTTCTCTTAGCTGCGACCATCACTACTTTTTCACTTCGGAGCCTTTATTAAGAAAAATTAAGGGTTATTTTTGGGCCACAGTAAGCCATGGATAACTGAAACAGCAGGTACTGAATCTGTAGATACAGGGGTCTTACTGTACATGTATACAGCCTCTCCTCACTTAACGATGGAGTTATGTTCCTAATACCGTGTCAGTAAACGAATTTGTCGCTAAATGAGAAGCATACTATAATGGTAGTGGGTTTATGTCAACCATCTTTGATACTGCTTTAATGTCACCCTTGCACCACCTATAACATTTTTAGTATAGTAGCATTTTTAAATGTTTATACAATAGTGTACTGTATATTGTAATAAGCAGAATAGAGGAAATCAGGTATAATATACATGTACATTATTTAGGTATGCATACTGGTCAGAGAGCCAGTGGTAAGTCTGAGTCGTTGGTAAATTAGTAAATCACTAAGTGAGGAGAGGCTGTAGTTAAAATAACATTTCTGTATGTAATAACAATGGTGACATCATTCTGGTACCTAAAACTAAACAATGTTTATTTGCCTGAAAATTGTATTGAAGTACAGTATCTCAAATATTAAACACTTTGTGAGCATTTGAATGTGGGTGTCATTTGATACCATGGAAATGTGAAGCTGGGAGAAAATATTAGTGAGTCAGAACACACAGAAAACAGAGCTATATTGTGTCATATATTTTTTGAAACTACAGGAATTAGGCTAAAAGAAAATCATCATGAGCATTCATTACCTTGGATTGTTCTGTATATATTGTGTAATAGTGTGCAAATTAATTGGGACAAGAGTAAATTTTGTGATTATTTCATATGCCTGGAGTATACCTGGAGGGGGTTTTGGGGGTCAGTGCCCCCTGATCAGTGACCAGGCCTTGCAGTGGATCAGGGCCTGATCAACCAGACTGTTACTGCTGGTTGCACGTAAACCGACGTATGAGGCACAGCGGTCAGGTACAGACTTTAGGTGCCTGTCTAGCTCCTTGAAGACAGTCAGGAATGTATTGGTAATCCCCCTTATGTACACTGGGAGGCAGTTGAAAAATCTTGGGCCCCTGACACTTATTGTGTTATCTATTAGCATACGCATGTTGCCCCTGCTTTTCATTGGTGGGATGTAAGGTTTGTCAAGAAACAAAGTGTTTCCGACGCAGGTCTTAGTCATGTGATGACTCGCCATTGGAGCTTTTGGTCATCTGACCGAGGCCTTCCGCTGGCTTACCGGTCCACCCCTTTAAAAATTGTGGTCATAGTTATAACCACTTTTGCATTCCGGGTAGTACAAATTAAGGGACATTAGTGCTGTCAGTCTGAAATTCTTTGCGGTTGCTTTCTTACCACCTTTGTGGAATGGGAGTGTTTTTTTTTTTTAGCGAATGTGGGATGACCCCCGTGTCCATGCTCCCTTTCTATAGAATACTTAAGGTACATGAAAGGGGTTTCTTGCAGTTCTTGATGAACACGGAGTTCCACGAGTCTGGGCCTGGGGCAGAGTGCATGTTTAGTTTAATATCTATTATGCACCCCATACCCAACCTGTGGGCGGTAGTCAAAAGATAGAACATTCACTTCTCTTGTATTCATTGTAAACTTGCCTAATGACCATGAGTACAAAATTACTACACTGTTATTGCCTTATTAATCTTAAGTTAATCTTAAGTTTCCCCAAAATGCTATGCATTTAAAGGGGCTTTTGGCATATATACCAAATTGTTATGCTCCTTTGTACAAACATGTATCATGCTGAAATAAACTTCATATTCTTATTCAATGACAAATGTACAGTATATATACAGTACAGCACATAATTTTGAAATTTTTTCAAATTGGCCTGGGTAATACTAATTAGAAATCCTCCATTTGTGATTTTCACACACAATATTATTTTCATTTTAGGCAGCAGATGAAGAGATAAACAATGCATACCGTCGGCTGAGCAGACTTTATCACCCTGACAAGCACACAGACCCTGACCGTAAAGCAGAAGCTGAGCTGCTCTTTGGCAAAACGAAAAAGGCTTATGAAGGTCAGTTTGGTACAGAAAAAATTTACGGTACAGTTTATATATCACCAGCCATAAGATGAGAAGTAAAATAAAACCTCAGTTTAATTTATCTTCTCCTTGGAGATTTTAAAAATGAAATCTGCTGGGTAAATTGATTTCAGAAAAATCTTACCCCCTGCCTCACAACTTGACTGGCTTCTCCTCTTTGCACCCTACTGCTACCAACTCCAGTTGTAGTTATTTCTTTAGGACTGAAGAAGCTACTCTTCAGTCCTCATTAAAATATTCTGTTATGCATGTGTTTTGTTTCGCATCTGTTGGTATTTTATACCACATCTTATCCAATGTAATTTTTGTGTCTTGCATTTCAGTGCTGAGCGATGCTCACATGCGAGCCATATATGATAACTTGGGGACAGCAGGACTGGAAACCCAGGGTTGGGAGATTGTTCAGCGAACTAAAACCCCACATGAGATCAGGGAAGAATATGAACGTCTGGCACGGTACGTTTTCTTTGTTTTGTTATATTTTTCCATTAATGTATTGGAAGTTTCCCATGGAGGCAGAGTGACTCAAAAACGAAGAAACTCTTCCATCTTCATTCACACTATTGCTGTCTTGCCAGAAGTGCACCTACACTACAATTCAAAAACTGCAACACATCTTCACTCCTCCTCCAGTGTGCAGACATTGTATTTCCCACTTCATTTTGTCTTGATTAGAATTGTTGACTAATGGAAGGGGGAGATCTTGAAAAAAATATAAAAATTCTTAACTGAATGAAAGGCTGTAGCTATTAGTGAACCACTGCCCTACCTAGATATCACAGGCTGGTTAACCTGGAACTTGGCCTAGGTTGTGGTCCGGTTTCCTCTTGAAGATTTTTATGCCGGGTTAGATGTTGACACATTGTTCTCTTACTATTATTATTATTATTATTATTTTTTCAACACTTCTGTTGTCACTCTTCCTCGGTGGGAGATGACCTATGTGTTAAAAAAAAAATATATATATATATATATATATATATATATATACAGTGGACCCCCGGTTAACGATATTTTTTCACTCCAGAAGTATGTTCAGGTGCCAGTACTGACCGAATTTGTTCCCATAAGAAATATTGTGAAGTAGATTAGTCCATTTCAGACCCCCAAACATACACGTACAAACGCACTTACATAAATACACTTACATAATTGGTCATATTCGGAGGTAATCGTTATGCGGGGGTCCACTGTAAGCCATGCGTGTCGTATGAGGCGACTAAAATGCCGGGAGCAATGGGCTAGTAACCCCTTCTCCTGTATAAAAATTACAAAAAAAGAGAAGAAGAAAAACTTTATAAAACGGGTTGCTTAAATGTGCGTGGATGTAGTGCGGATGACAAGAAACAGATGATTGCTGATGTTATGAATGAAAAGAAGTTGGATGTCCTGGCCCTAAGCGAAACAAAGCTGAAGGGGGTAGGAGAGTTTCAGTGGGGGGGAAATAAATGGGATTAAATCTGGAGTATCTGAGAGATTTAGAGCAAAGGAAGGGGTAGCAGTAATTTTAAATGATCAGTTATGGAAGGAGAAAAGAGAATATGAATGTGTAAATTCAAGAATTATGTGGATTAAAGAAAAGGGTTTGGGATGCGAGAAGTGGGTCATAATAAGCTGTATGCACCGGGAGAAGAGAGGAATGCAGAGGAGAGAGAGAGATTTTGGGAGATGTTAAGTGAATGTATAGGAGCCTTTGAACCAAGTAGAGAGTAATTTTTGTAGGGGACTTGAATGCTAAAGTAGGAAAAAACTTTTAGAGGGGGTTTGTGGTAGGTAAGTTTGGGGGCCAGGTGTAAATGATAATGGGACCCCTTTGATTGAACTTTGTATAGAAAGGGGTTTAGTTATAGGTAATACATATTTTAAGAAAAAGAGGATAAATAAGTATACACGATATGATGTAGGGCGAAATGACAGTAGTTTGTTGGATTATGTATTAGTAGATAAAAGACTGGTTGAGTAGACTTCAGGATGTACATGTTTTAGAGGGGCCACAGATATATCAGATCACTTTCTAGTTGTAGCTACACTGAGAGTAAAAGGTAGATGGGATACAAGGAGAATAGAAGCATCAGGGAAGAGAGAGGTGAAGGTTTTAAACTAAAAGAGAGGCAGTTAGGGTAAGATATAAAACAGCTATTGGAGGATAGATGGGCTAATGAGAGCATAGGCAATGGGGTCGAAGAGGTATGGGGTAGGTTTAAAAATGTAGTGTTAGAGTGTTCAGCAGAAGTTTTGGTTACAGGAAAGTGGGTGCAGGAGGGAAGAGGAAGCGATTGTGGAATGATGATGTAAAGAGAGTAGTAAGGAGAAAAAGTTAGCATATGAGAAGTTTTTACAAAGTAGAAGTGATGCAAGGAGGGAAGAGTATATGGAGAAAAAGAGAGGGTTAAGAGAGTGGTGAAGCAATGTAAAAAGAGAGCAAATGAGAGGTGGGTGAGATGTTATCAACAAATTTTGTTGAAAATAAGAAAAAATTTTGGAGTGAGATTAACAAGTTAAGAAAGCCTAGAGAAAAAAATTGATTTGTCAGTTAAAAATAGGAGAGGAGAGTTATTAAATGGGGGAGTTAGAGGTATTGGGAAGATGGAGGGAATATTTTGAGGAATTGTTAAATGTTGATGAAGATAGGGAAGCAGTGATTTCGTGTATAGGGCAAGGAGGAATAACAAACTTGTAGGAGTGAGGAAGAGCCAGTTGTGAGTGGGGGGAAGTTCGTGAGGCAGTAGGTAAAATGAAAGGGGGTAAGGCAGCCGGGATTGATGGGATAAAGATAGAAATGTTAAAAGCAGGTGGGGGATATAGTTTTGGAGGGTTGGTGCAATTATTTAATTAATAAATGTATGGAAGAGGGTAAGGTACCTGGATTGGCAAGAGCATGCATTAGTTCCTTTGTATAAAGGCAAAGGGGATAAAAGAGAGTGCAAAAATTATAGGGGGATAAGTCTGTTGAGTGTACCTGGTAAAGTGTATGGTAGAGTTATAATTGAAAGAATTAAGAGTAGACGGAGAATAGGATGCAGATGAACAAGGAGGCTTAGGAAAGGTTTGGGGGTGTGTGGACCAGGTGTTTACAGTGAACATATAAGTGAACAGTATTTAGATAAGGCTAAAGAGGTCTTTGTGGCATTTATGGATTTGGAAAGGCGTATGACAGGGTGGATAGGGGGGCAATGTGGCAGATGTTGCAAGTGTATGGTGTAGGAGGTAGGTTACTGAAAGCAGTGAAGAGTTTTTACGAGGATGTGAGGCTCAAGTTAGAGTATGTAGGAAAGAGGGAAATTTTTTTCCAGTAAAAGTAGGCCTTTGACAAGGATGTGTGATGTCACCGTGGTTGTTTAATATATTTATAGATGGGGTTGTAAGAGAAGTAAATGCGAGGTCTTGGCAAGAGGCGTGGAGTTAAAAGATAAGAATCACACACAAAGTGGGAGTTGTCACAGCTGCTCTTTGCTGATGACACTGTGCTCTTGGGAGATTTGAAGAGAAGTTGCAGAGATTGGTGGATGAATTTGGTAGGGTTTTGCAAAAGAAGAAAATTAAAGGTGAATACAGGAAAGAGTAAGGTTATGAGGATAACAAAAAGATTAGGTGATGAAAGATTGAATATCAGATTGGAGGGAGAGAGTTGGAGGAGGTGAACATATTCAGATATTGGGAGTGGAAGTGTCAGCGGATGGGTCTATGAAAGATGAGGTGAATCATAGAATTGAGAGGGAAAAAAGAGTGAGTGGTGCACTTAGGAGTCTGTGGAGACAAAGAACTTTGTCCTTGGAGGCAAAGAGGGGAATGTATGAGAGTATAGTTTTACCAACGCTCTTAAATGGGTGTGAAGCGTGGGTGATGAATGTTGCAGCGAGGAGAAGGCTGGGGCAGTGGAGATGTCATGTCTGAGGGCAATGTGTGGTGTGAATATAATGCAGAGAATTCGTAGTTTGGAAGTTAGGAGGAGGTGCGGGATTACCAAAACTGTTGCCAGAAAGGGGTGAGGAAGGGTTGTTGAGGTGGTTCGGACATGTAGAGAGAATGGAGCGAAACAAATGACTTCAAGAGTGTATCAGTCTTTAGTGGAAGGAAGGCGGGGGTAGGGGTCGGCCTAGGAAGGGTTGAGGGAGGGGGTAAAGGAGGTTTTTTGTGTGCGAGGGGCTTGGGGCTTCCAGCAGGCATGCGTGAGCGTGTTTGTAGGAGTGAATGGAGACAAATGGGTTTTTTAAAACTTGACGTGCTGTTGGAGTGTGAGCAAAAGTAACATTTGTGAAGGGATTCAGGGAAACCGGCAGGCCGGACTTGAGTTCTGGAGATGGGAAGTACAGTGCCTGCACTCTGAAGGAGGGGTGTTAATGTTGCAGTTTAAAAACTGTAGTGTAAAGCACCCTTCTGGCAAGACAGTGATGGAGTGAATGATGGTGAAAGTTTTTCTTTTTCGGGCCACCCTGCCTTGGTGGGAATCGGCCGGTGTGATAATAAAAAAAAAATAAAAATAAATGTATATATGTATGTATATATGTATGTATGTATGTATGTATGTATGTATACCTGTCTTCAACCAAGCTTCCTATATCTTTTGAAGCAAATTAGCTGTCTGCTGCCAAATGGCTGTAAGCCTGGTGTTATAAAGGTGCCACATAAGCTTATCATGTTGTGATCTTTTTTTAAATTGAACATTATGGTTATTGGGACCTGACAAGCTGTTGGAGTGTGAGCAGGGTAATATTTTGTGAAGGGATTCAGGGAAACCGGTTAGCTGGACTTGAGTCCTGGAGGTGGGAAGTACAATACCTGCACTCTGAAGGAGGGGTTTGAGATATTTGCTGTTTGGAGGGACATCTGAACTGTCATATCTGTGCACCTTTGCCAAAACAGTGATGCTTTGAATAATGGTGAAAGCGTTTTTTTTCAGGTCACCCTGCCTCTGTGGAAGACGGCCAGCGTGTTAAAAAAAAATTGCTACATGATTATTCTTAACACTTGTCACTTGCTGCTTAACACTTAGATTTTCTTTGCCTTAAAATAATATAAAGTACTCTTGATCCCTAAGTTATGACCATTAAAGTTGTGATGATCTGCACTTATGAATGGGGCAGTATGAAACTAATTACAGCCTCTCAGTGTCTCCTCATGTTAGTAAACGAATTTGTCGTTAAGCAAGGAGCATACTCTAATGGTAGTGGGTATCCCAACCATCTTTGATATTGTTTTAACCCTTTCAGGGTCCAGAGGCCAAATTTCAAAGTGCACACCAGTGTCCAAGAATTTTCAAAAAATAATTTTGTTATTTTTTCTTATGAAATGGTAGAGAATCTTTTTCTGAAGGTAATAAAACAAAAAGTACGAAATTTGATGGAAAACTGACAAAATTATATTCTCGCGAATTTTGATGTGTCAGCGATATTTACGCAGTGGCGATTTTGCTGACTTTGACTCCCATTTTAGGCCGATTACCTTATTCCAGTCGACCAAATTCTTAGCTATTTCACTAGTATTACTTCTATTCTATCTATTGAGCACAAGAAATCGCCAACTCGACTGTTTCAACTGCAAAATATAGTGATCGGAAATTGGTAATTTGGCCAATTTAGTGCAAAGTGCAAAATATTCCAGTTTTAAAATAGGATCCAGAATAAACAATGCAGGCATTGCTGGCACTAAACTAACATTTCCTCTGTTCATTAGTTACATTTCCAGGCTTTACAAATGAATTCCATTTTGATTTTTAATTCACATAATGAATTTTTATTCAAACCAAAAAATAGAAGATTTATTGTCATGCATTATTGTAATAATTGTATAAATCATATCATCACATTTGTGAACGTATATTAGACCCACCAGTTGGCATGTAGTAGATGTGTGAGGTCATTTGTTTACTCTTGAACATCAGCAAAAATTTAACATTTCCGCTACTTTGAGCTCAGTTTCAAGCCATTTTCAGTACTAAAACCAATACACCTATAAAAAACATTCAAAAAACACTGCAAAGTCGCTGTTTTAATCGAAAATTACGGTCTCAGTTTTTTCTCTCATTATGCACATTGTGCTGCAGGATTTGTTTTATGTGGTGCACACATACCACATAGATGTATTCTCTCATATCTAGGCCCAAATTTACCACTCTCAGCCTATCAGAGTGAGCTGAGCTCATGGCATAGATCTACAGTTTGGACCCTCAGTGTAAAGCCGTAGATCTACAGCACGGACCCTGAAAGGGTTAATGTCACCTTTGCACCAGTTATAACAGTTTAAGTACATTTTTAAATGTTTGTACAGTAGTATACTGTTATTATTTTTATTATTTTTTTATTAACACGTTGGCCGATTCCCACCAAGGCAGGGTGGCCCGGAAAAGAAAAACTTTCATCATCATTCACTCCATCACTACCTTGCCAAGGGGTGCTTTACACTACAGTTATAAAACTGCAACATTAACACCCCTCCTTCAGAGTGTAGACACTGTACTTCCCATCTCCAGGACTCAAGTCTGGCCTGCCGGAGGAATAGAGGAAATCAGCTCTAATATACACTATTTAGGTATGGTTACTGGTTAGGGACCCTGTTGTAAGTCCGAGTTGTCAATAAACGAGTACTTCGATAAGTGAGGAGACACTGTACTGTTATTTCTTGTGAACATTAAAACAAACTGTTTTCTAGAATTTTTCCTCTGTTTTCTCAAATGTTTTAATTTGCTCATGTTCATTTTCTGCACATGTGGTGGGTTCACATTTATTTGGTAGAGATTGGCTAAGAACTAGATTTAATTATTCCATTGTATGGTGTTAGTGAATGGGGAAATGGAAACATTCCTGTCCTGTGGCTGAGTGGTTCTCAACCTGTTCAAGTACAATAATCCCTATTTATTTTATTATTTTATTATCACACTGGCCGATTCCCACCAGGGAAGTACTACCGTCCTGCCAGATGACTGTGAAACAGAAACCTGTAACTGTTTTGCATGATGGTAGGATTGCTGGTTTCTTTTTCTGTCTCATAAACACGCTAGATAACAGGGATATCTTGCTACTCCTACTTACACTTTGGTCACACTTCACAGACACGCACATGCATATATACGTATATACATACATCTAGGTTTTTCTCCTTTTTCTAAATAGCTCTTGTTCTTCTTTATTTCTTCTATTGTCCATGGGGAAGTGGAAAAGAATCTTTCCTCCGTAAGCCATGCGTGTCGTATGAGGCGACTAAAATGCCGGGAGCAATAGGCTAGTAACCCCTTCTCCTGTAGACATTTACTGAAAAAGAGAAGGAGAAAAACTTTATAATCCCTATTTAGCCTCAAAAGAATTTACAAACCTCCACATGCCAATATTTGTATTTTTAGGCTCCATTGATTGTGATAATACATTTTAGTTTATAAAACATCCTCCTTCATGGTTTATGAAGATGTTGTCTTTTCATGAAGAGGACGATTGGCAGTGCTACAGTTACAACACTAGCTAACAGATGCATGCAGCTCTATAGCAAGACTGTAGGCTAGATTGAGATAGACATTGATGGATAATGGGGGAAATCAGTTGTTTGTTAGGAAAGCAATACTTAATACCATAGTTTTGCAGACCCCCTGGGAAAACTCAGCCATCCCCCAGGGGTTTGTAACCTACAGGTCAGGGACTACTACTGTAGGTGATCAAGGTTAATGTTGCTGCTGCTCAAGCACCTGCTGCCCTCACCACAACCCCACTCTCCCACTCACCAGACACTTGCTACTCTCACTAGAACAGCAAGGGGTTGGAGAGTATATATAATGATGGTTTGTCAAACCATTACCAAGAGCTCATCACATTGTTAGTTGGGTGCCCTCTGCATTGCTGTTTCTCCATTACTATGTTCTTTCTGTATATAACCTGACTAAGAATAACAAACAGTATTAAATTTTGGCTCCATATCATATTGAGCAGAGATACATAAACTGTAATTTGGCAGAAAGGGCATGCTCTAATTGGGAAACAGGTTGGGTTATTACTTTGTATTTACATTCATGGAAAATTAATAATCACTACTACTGTACTACAAAGCATACACACTCCTAGTCACTGCTCACTTGTCAATAAAGCTAGTGTCAAGCAGCATCAAGCAGCAAGACATTTAATGTTAAATCTAAATTTGCAGGACCCAGTAAATCTTTCCTTCAACTAGAGGCTTGGTCACGTAGAAATTGAATATGAGATGCAGTTGTATTGACATTAATGTATTAATAAATGTTTTATACTTTGGTTAGACCTAGGTAGTAGGTTAATAAATGTTTTATACTTTGGTTAGACCTAGGTAGTAGGTTAATAAATGTTTTATACTTTGGTTAGACCTAGGTAGTAGGTTGGTAGACAGCAATTGCCAAGGGAGGTACTACCATCCTGCCAGGTGAGTGTAAAACGAAAGCCTGTAATTGTTTTACATGATTGTAGGGTTGCTGGTGTCTCTTTTTCTGTCTCAAACATGCAAGATTTCAGGTACATCTTGCTACTACTACTTACACTTTGGTCACACTACACATACATGTACAAGCATATATATACACACCCCTCTGGGTTTTCTTCTATTTTCTTTCTAGTTCTTGTTTATTTCCTCTTATCTCCATGGGGAAGCGAAACAGAATTCTTCCTCCGTAAGCCATGTGTGTTGTAAGAGGCGACTAAAATGCCGGGAGCAAGGGGCTAGTAACCCCTTCTCCTGCACAAATTACTAAATTTGTGCAGGAGAAGGGGTTTGGGCCACCCTGGTTTGGTGGGATACGGCCAGTTTGTTGGAAAAAAAAAAAAAAAAGGCAAGAGTTCTGAAACTTCTTGCTACTTATACTTAGGTCACACTACACATGCATGTACAAGCATGTATTTTACACACACTTCTCTGGGTTTTCTTCTGTTTTATTAGTTCTTGTTTATTTCCTCTTATCTCCACGGGGAAGTGGAACAGAATTCTTCCTCCGTAAGCTGCATGTTGTAAGAGGCAACTAAAATGCCGGGAGCAAGGGGCTAGTAACCCTTTCTCCTGTATACATTACTGAAGTTAAAAAGATAGCTTTTTTGTTTTGTTTTGGCCACCCTGCCTCTGTGTGTATATGCCGGCTTGTTGAAAGAAGATTTTGGTTAGTACAGTGCCTGCACTCCAGGGGAGTGGTGAGGATGTTGCAGTTCAGAGGGTCATCTGTACTGTGATGTCAGCACACTCCTGACAAGACAGTGATTAAATGAATAACTGTGAGGGGGGGGGAGGGGTAGGGGTCACCCTACCTTGGTGTGACATGGCCAGTGTGTTAAGAAAAAACTTGAAATTTTACTGGCAGTTTTTATTTCAGCGAGCGTGAGGAGCGTCGGCTGCAGCAGCGAACAAACCCTAAGAGCTCTGTAACCATGACAATCAATGCCACTGATCTCTTCTCTGTTTATGACGACGACTCTCCTTTTCTGGATCTGAGGTAAGTGGTAATTTGACTTGTAAATTGGGGAAACTATAACCACCACCCTATGACATATTAACTTTTTAAAAATATAATAGTTTTTTAATGGAGGAATCTTGTTGGCACATTACCATTTGAGGAAGTGAAGCTCATGTACTGTGGGCCATAGTTCTAGTGATACAGGAGCAGGAAATCTCCCATATATCCTAAATATTTTGAGGTACTGTAAATTCTCGACTTAGCAACATATTGTGGACCTCTTGAATTGTGTATAATATTTATAATACAGGAAGTCTTCAACTTGCACTTGTAAAACACTTGTGCAGTACCTTGGTATCTTTATTAGTGAGCTACAGTGGGACCCTGGATTTCGTCTGGTGCGAATATCTTACACTTCGGATTTCGACCACTTTTTTGGGCCAAATTTGACCCCAGGTTTCGTACCCTTACTCGGAAATCATCCGTATCGGATGCAGCCGCTCACACATGTATGTGACTCAGTCTGCCTCTGTCACTTGTTCAGTGAGCAATACTCCACGCGTTCATCCGAAACATTGGTGGAAGAGGGTGGTAGTGGTAGTGATGGTGGTGGAGGGTGGTTGTGATAGTGGTAGTGATGGCAGACAATCGAAGATGTTGAGAAGTTGTTGTTGGTGTGGATCAATGAAAAACAGTTGGTGGGAGATAGTGTTGTGGTGGCAATTTGTGAAAAGGCAAGGCAGTTGCATGGGGTTCTCGTAAAGAATATGCCAACAAGTCTTCAATAAAGGTAAAAGTGATTTAAATGTTCACTTATCCATTAAAATTAGTGCTTTATATTTATTTCTCATTGTTTTCTGTATGTAAAACTATAGTTATTCTCTGCAAAATTTATTTTTTGTTAATATTTTTGGGTGTCTGTAGAGGATTAATTGGATTTGCATTATTTCTTTTGGGAAATATTACTTCAGTTTTCATCCATTTTGGATTTCGACCGACCTTCTGGAACGGATTAAGGATGAAAACCGGGGTTCCACTGTATTTCACCTGCTCAGCAGGATTCCTCAATTTTTTTTTTTTTTTCAACAAGTTGGTCGTCTCCCACCGATTTACTCAATAATAATTTACTCAACAATAATAATAATGATTTCTACCTATATGGATTTTTAGTTCTTATATAAAGTAATACCTGTAAAATAAAAGGTATCACTTCCAGTGCTGCCTGGACTGCTATTATGCAGTAGTGATGATGAACTCTGTTAAGTATTATCTCTCACCATAACTCTCAGTTTGTTATTAAACACTTTTTTGTTGCTGTAAAGCATACACATTTAATTTCTGGGTGTGAATTTGTTGCATAAGACCAAAGATGTTCTTGATAGAAATTATGTCATGCCTACTTAAATTAAGTTTGCATATTGTACCTCTCTGTACATAAAAGGCATTAGTTAAGTTTTTTTTTTTTTTTTTTTTTTTTTTTTTTTTTTTTTTAAACATGTTGGCTGTTTCCCATTGAGGTAGGGTGATGCAAAAAGAAAGAAAAACACTAATATCATCATTCAGCACTCACCATTATTCATACATAATCACCGCCTTTGCAGAGGTGCTCAGATATGACAGTTTAGATGTCACTCCAAACAGCCAATATCTCAAACCCCTCCTTTAAACTAGGCATTGTACTTCCCACCTCCAGGACTCAAGTCCAGTTGACTGATTTCCCTGAATCCCTTACACAAAATATTACCTTGTTCACACTCCAACAACTCATCAGGTCCCAAAACCTATTCATCTTCATTCACTCTTGTCTAACATGCTCGCTGGAAGTCTAAGCCCCTCACCCACAAAACCTCCTTTACCCCCCTCCCTCCAACGTTTCCTAGGATGACCCCTACCCCACCTTCCTTCCACTACAGATTCATGCGCTCTCCAAGTCATTCTACTTTGTTCCATCCTCTCTGAATGACCAGACCACCTCAACAGCCCCTCTTCAGACCTCTAATACTTTTATTAACTTCATACCTCCTCCTAATTTCCACACTACAATTTCTCTACATATTATACAGTGGTACCTCAAGTTTCGAACAGTTCTCAACTCGAACAATTATGTAAGTGTATTTTTGTGAGTGCTTTTGTAAGTGTATTTTTGGGAGTCTGAAACAGATTAATCTAATTTACATTATTCCTTACGGGAACAAATTCATTTGGTATTGGCACTCGAACAGCCTTTTGGAACAAATTAAGTTCATAACTTGAGGTACCACTGTACTACACATTGCCCTTAGACACGACATCTCCACTGCCTCCAGCCACTTCCTTGCTGCAGCATTTACAACCCATGCTTCACACCCAAGTTAGTGTTGGTACCACTTTGTTCTCGTACATTCCCTTCTTTGCTTCCTGGATGACTTTTTTTTTTTTTTTTTTTTTTTTTTTTTTTTTGTCTTCACAGATACCTCAAAGCACCACTCACCTTTTTTCCTTCATCAGTTCTATGGTTAACCTCGTCCTTCATAAACCCATCTGTTGATCAGTCAACTCCCAAATATCTGAACACATTCACTTCTTCCATACTCCCTCCTTTCAATGTGATATCCAATTTTTCTTTATCTAAATCGTTTGATACCCTCATCACCTTACTCTTATCTATGTTCACTTTCAACTTACTTCCTCTACACACCCTCCCAAACTTGTCCACTAACCTCCACAACTTTTCTTTAGAATCTCCCATAAGCACAGTATCATCAGCAAAACGTAACTTTGTCAACTCCCATTTTGTATTTGATTCCCCATAATTTAATCCCACTCCTTTCCCCAACACCCTAGGCCTTACCCTTCTTACATTCCTATCTTAAAATATATGTTAAACATCCATGATGAATTTACACATCCCCTGTGTAAGGCTACTTTACTGGGAAGTAATCTCCCTCTCTCCTACAAACTAAACCTGAGCCTACACTATCCTCATAAAAACTCTTTAACAGCATTTAGTAACTTACTAATATTCCATACACTTGTAACTTCTGCCACATTATCCCCCTTGCACCCCCCTATCATATGCCTTTTCTAAATCCATATATGCAATCAAAACTACCCTTACCTTTATCTAAATTATTCTTCATATATATGCTTCATGTGTTACACTTGATTCTACATATCCCCTACCCAACCCCTCCTAAGAGTGCAGGCATTGTACTTCCCACATCCAGAGTCCTCAAGTCATTTATTTAATATTTGCATCTTTTCTACATCCCATAAGTACTGTTAGCAGTATTTCCAGTGATTCACACCTCAGTATAAGAATTAATGTGCCTTTAATATTTATCAATACATTAGATAGTAAGGTATTTTGAACTGACTGCTTTTTCTTATATTCATTTCAGGGATTTGTTTGGTTTACATCACTCCACCACCATTGAAATTAGTGGAATGAACCCTCAATAAGCAAATTGAAGCTCACTGTAAATAGAGAACCTGCAATTCTTCGGGTAAATATGAAATATGTTTGAAAAGATGCAATACAATTAAAGATGGAGTGATGTAGTAGTAATAACTAGGAGATATACACGTTGATATTTGGAGTATACCTGGAGGGTGTTCCGGGGATCAGCGCCCCCACAGCCTGGTCCATAACCATGACACTTAGCGTTGTGAGATTACCTGTGTAATGACTTTCTCAGTTAGGCAAGATTAGTTGAGGAAATTGTTTAGGTCACAGTCACTGGTTATTTCGTATCTCTTTCCTGTGACTGTTTTTGCATAATTTGTCCATTTTGAGCAAAACACTGAGAGGATATTGTTACCATTGTTAAGACAAAGTTTTCTTAACCTTATTAAAAGGTCGTGACAATTTTTGTAAGGCACTAATTTACAAAGATACATTTTCCCTGTTTTATGGTCAAGTGAAGTTGTTAACCTCCCAGACTGCCTAACAAATACGTTTCTTTGATTTCACCATGAACTAAGTTGATATTTAACACTTTTTAATCTCCTGAGAGTGGCAAACAATTTTGACTAACCATTTCTGATACTTATTTTTTTCAATGAACCAGCCATCTCCCACTGAGGCAGGGTGACCTAAAAAGAAAAACAAAAAGTTTTTCTTTTTACATGTAGTAATTTATACAGGAAAAGGAGTTTTTAGCCCCTTGCAGCATGCATTAGTTGTTGCTACTGCACTATTTCATGTGCTTGTTTGCGTTAATCAATAAACTGTGTCATTGTTTTCCAGTCTCTTGCCATTTTTTTCAGTGAAAGAATTTGTCTGCATTTGAACATGTAACTGTTTTGCTGTAATATTTAACTGTTGTTTACATTTCAAGTTGGATTTCCTTGATGTTTTGTAGATTGGTTATTTTGACTCTCAAAATCGTAATGGCACGATTTTGTTTTTCATGATTTGTTGGCAGGCAGTGGTGTTCACTATGTTTTTCTGGTTAGGGAGGTTTAAAGTACAGTGTAGGCTTCATGGGGGGTTTTAATATTTTTCACTGAGGCACTTTATTTTTGTTTTTTGGTCATTGACGAAATTGACATAAGAACATAGACATAAGAAAGGAGGAACACTGTAGCAGGCCTGTTGGCCCATACTAGGCAGGTCCTTTACAATTCATCCCACTAACAAACATTTGACCAACCCAATTTTCAATGCTACCCAAGAAATAAGCTCTGATGTGCAAGTTACACTCAAATCCAACCCCTCCCACTCATGTACTTATCCAACCTAAATTTGAAACTACCCAAAGTCCTAGCCTCAATAACCCAACTAGGTAGACTGTTTCACTCATCAGCTACCCTATTTCCAAACCAATACTTTCCTATGTCCTTTCTAAATCTAAACTTATCTAATTTAAATCCATTACTGCGTGTTCTCTCTTGGAGAGATATCCTCAAGACCTTGTTAATATCCCCTTTATTAATACCTATCTTCCACTTATACACTTCGATCAGGTCTCCCCTCATTCTTCGTCTAACAAGTGAATGTAGCTTAAGAGTCTTCAATCTTTCTTCATAAGGAAGATTTCTAATGCTGTGTATTAATTTAGTCATCCTACGCTGAATGTTTTCTAACGAATTTATGTCCATTCTGTAATATGGAGACCAGAATTGAGCTGCATAATCTAGGTGAGGCCTTACCAATGATGTATAAAGCTGCAGTATGACCTCTGGACTTCTGTTGCTTACACTTCTTGATATAAATCCCAGTAATCTATTTGCCTTATTACGTACGCTTAGGCATTGCTGTCTTGGTTTAAGGTTGCTGCTTACCATAACCCCCAAGTCCTTTTTGCAATCTGTATGGCTAACTTCTACATTATTTAACTTATAAGTGCTAGGGTTATGGACACTCCCGAGCTTCAGAACCTTGCATTTATCTACATTGAACTGCATCTGCCACTTTTCTGACCAAGAGTAGAGTTTGTCTAAATCCTCCTGAAGTTCCCTAACATCTACTTTTGAATCAGTTATCCTACCTATCTTCGTGTCATCGGCGAATTTGCTCATATCACTAGTAATTCCTTCATCAAGATCATTGATATATATTATAAACAACAACGGCCCAAGACTGATCCCTGTGGAACGCCACTTGTTACTGATCCCCACTCGGATTTAACCCCATTTATGGACACACACTGCTTTCTGTCTGTGAGCCATGATTCGATCCACGAGAGCACCCTTCCCCCAATGCCATGAGCTGCTACTTTCTTCAACAGTCTTTGGTGCAGAACTCTATCAAATGCCTTACTAAAATCTAAGTAAATAATATCAAATTCTTTATCGTGGTCAACAGCCTCAAAAGCTTTACTGAAGAAAGTTAATAAATTAGTTAGACAAGACCGGCCTCTTGTGAATCCATGCTGAGTATCATTAATCAAGCTATGCTTATCGAGATGGCTTCTTATAATCTGAGCTATAATTGACTCTAGTAATTTGCCTACAATTGAGGTCAGGCTTATTGGGCGGTAATTTGATGGTAACGACTTGTCCCCTGTTTTAAAAATAGGAATTACATTAGCCATCTTCCACATAATCAGACTGTGTTACTTCAGACTTAATACCCGTTTTTATGCAACAGTTCAAGCGATCTCGGACATACAATGCCACCCCACCCCCCTTTCCGACACTTCTATCTACTTGGAACAATTTAAAACCCTGGATGTGACATTCTGCAGGCATGTCTCGACTTTTTGAATTAAACCACGTCTCAGTAATGGCAAATACATCTACGTTACCTGCACTAGCAACTAGTCTCAACTCGTCCATCTTATTCCTAGCACTGCGACTATTTGTGTAATAAATATTTAAAGACCCTCCTCTCTCTTTACCCTTCCTGCTCCTTTCTGTTTTTCCACTAAACCTATTACTGTCCTTGTCAATTAGTGCCACTGGCTTTCCAATATCCACCTCATTTTGCCTATTACTAGTTCTCCTAGTACTCATATTACTACCCTGCGACTTCACAGTTTTCCCGCAAAAACCCATACCACTAACTATTCCTAGTTTAAAGACCTAACAGCTCCCTCCACTGCGTTGGCCAGTGCTCCCACCCCACACCTAGATAAGTGAGCCCCGTCCCTGGTATACATGTCATTTCTGCCATAGAAGAGGTCCCAGTTGTCAATGAATGTTACTGCATTTTCCTTACAGTATTTGTCCAGCCAGCAATTGACACCAATTGCTCTGGACAGCCATTCATTTCCAACTCCTCTCCTTGGCAAAATGCCACATATGACAGGTTTCCCACCCTTCCTCCTAATTATCTCTATTGCTGACCTATACCTGCTAATCAGGTCCTCACTCCTATGTCTGCCAACATCGTTGCCTCCAGCACTGAGACAGATAATAAGATTGCTCCCATTACCTCTCATGATGTCATCCAGACGGCTAACAATATCCTTCATCCCAGCGAAAACACACACTCTGCCTCCTACTCCTATCCTTCAAGCAGAATGCCCTATCCATGTACCTAATCTGGCTATCCCCAACAACAACAATGTTTTTACCTTCCTTGGCGTCGTCCGTCGTGATGCTCCGAGTAGTCGACTCACATTCGCCAGGTAGCATTACACCACTTGTAGAATTCGTCAAGACGTTCTCGATGGTCTTCGTTGGGGTTTCTAGGGATGTCTCGCTCACGTCTGCCAATGCTTCTTTGGTGCTCGTTGTGGCATTCCCAGTAGAACACTCACATTCGTCAGGTAGCACCGAGAATGGGTTGGAAGTTTCCACGGTAGTCTTCTGGTTTCTCGTTGTTTCTGCCTCTCCAACCGTTTTCTTGATCTTCAGCTTGGTTCCAAGTTGCCCGGCCACTGACCAAGCTCCCCTCTTAACCTGGGGACTCACAACAGGAGGATTACTACGAATCCTCTTGTTCTCCTTCGTTAATCGCCGTATCTCCATCTTAGCAACTCTGAGCTCTTCTCTCAGCTGCTGGTAAAGTTGCTCAAGAGAGGGCATCCTGGTTCAGATTCACAGAGAGCACACAAACAGGTCTTCACAGAGCTAAGTACACGTCACCACGTTTTCTTGGGAGTTTCATCAAAATCCTGAAAGGAGTTCAGAGATAGTACTCCTTGGTTAGCCATTTTAGGTTAGCCATTTTCTTTGAGGGTTGGTTGTTAGGGTAAGCAGTAAGAGTGGTGTCAGCCCTCAGGCTGCTCAAGGAAGAAGCTGATAGTGAGAAATTTTATTCCCTCGTGATCATATGTATCCTGCAAGTATTTTTGGTGCTGGTTCGTCAGTGTTTTCCCTTACCCAAGTGCGGGAGGATTAATGCTCGAGGCTAGTGTAATATTCACCCTAGTCTGTTTTAATCAGGGTACAGCTTGCCTGGTTGCAGTGTTTGGGGGGTGAGTTGGGGCAAATGCTAGCTGAATCTTGGTTACTTTCTGTATTAGTTTATTTTTCAGATTTATGCCATGAATTTTTATATATTCATTTCTGGATGTCTAGTTGTTAGATCATTCTAGGAGAGCAGGTTATCCTAAAGAAAAGTGAGCTGTGGAGCAAACACCTACACTACAGTAGGGCCCCACTTATACGGCAGGTTAGGTTCCATGCTATCGCCGGAAAGCAGAACGCCATTTTTTCCATTTATAAATTCATATAAATGCCAGACATCAAGTTTACACTAAATTATATTAAGTTAGTAATAGAAGTAAGCATTAGAAACACACAAAGTAAAATACATTCACAGTACATTCATTACTTATCTTAAAGTATTTGTAATCTTAATGTAGGGAGAGAGGTGAGTAGTACTTATTTGTAGGGAGTCAGGTGTAGGTAGCCCTGGCTCCCTGTCTCTTACTTTTTTTTTTTTTTTTTTTTTCTCTCTCTCTCAACAAGTCGGCCGTCTCCCACCGAGGTAGGGTGACCCAAAAAAGAAAGAAAATCCCCAAAAAGAAAATACTTTCATCATCATTCAACACTTTCACCACACTCACACATTATCACTGTTTTTGCAGAGGTGCTCAGAATACAACAGTTTAGAAGCATATACATATAAAGATACACAGCATCCCAGAGAGTTAAAATACACATACAGTACACTCGCTGTTTACCTTAAAATATGTGTCGTTTTAACACTTTCAGGGTCCAGAGGCCAAATTTCAAAGTGCGCACCAGTGTCCAAGAATTTTCAAAAAATAATTTTATTTTTTCTTATGAAATGGTAGAGAATGTTTTTCTGAAGGTAATAAAACACAAAGTATGAAATTTGATGGAAAATTGACGAAATTATGCTCTCACGAATTTTGATGTGACAGCGATATTTACGCATCGTCGATTTTGCCGACTTTGACTCCTATTTTAGACCAATTATATTACTCCAGTCAAACAAATTCTTAGCTATTTCACTAGTATTACTTCTATTCTATTGCTTGGGCACAAATAATCGCCAAGTCAACTGTTTCAACTACAAAATAAAGTGATTGGAAATTGGTAATTTGGCCAATTTAATGCAAAGTTCAAAATATTCTAATTTCAAAGTAGGGTCCAGAATAAACAATACAGGCATTCCTGGAACTAAACTAACATTTCCTCTGTTCATTAGTTACGTTTTCAGGCTTTACAAATGAATTCCATTTTGATTTTTTATTCACATAATAAATTTTTATTCAAACCAAAAAAATAGAAAATTTATTGTTATCCAATACTGTAATAATTGTATAAATAATATCACCACATTTGTGAACGTATATTAGACCCACCAGCTGGCGTGTATTAGACGTGTGGGATCATTTGTTTACTCATGAACTTCGGCAAAAATTTAACATTTCTGCTATTTTAAGCTCAGTTTCAACCCATTTCCATTACTAAAACCAATCAAAATCATCTCCATTTCTGTAATACATCTTCCATTCTATCAAATGAGACCAAGAAATCACAAATACAACTATAAAAAACATACGAAAAAACACTGCAAATTCGCTGTTTTAATCGAAAATCCTGCAGCACACAGTGCTGCAGGATTTGTTTTATGTGGTGCATACATACCACATAGATGCATTTTATCATATCTAGGCCCAAATTTACCGCTCAGAGCTTATCAGAGTGAGCTGAGCTCATGGCGTAGATCTACAGTTTGGACCCTCAATGTATAGCTGTAGATCTATGGTACGGACCCTCAAAGGGTTAATGTAGGAAGAGAAATGAGTAGTATTTATTTGTAGGAAGTCAGTGTAGGTAGCCAGTAGGTGTAGCCCGCCTGGGCTGCACCTACCGGCTACCTACACTATGGCCCAGAGCCATATTATTAGCATCGACATACCTTGTTCACTGAATTTAATCATTTCTAACAACTACCTTTAGATGCCATCTTGAACGAAGGGAGAAGTAATGAATAATTCATGCCGAAAATTGTAAACAAAAGCAGAGCGGGGGAGTGGCTGGGCCAAACGCAGATTCATACACATTTTCTCTGGTGGCTGAGCAGAGAAAACGTAATGTTGTCCCTCTGCCTGGCTACCACACACGTCCACGAGTATTATTATCAGAGCACATACGAAACATGCAATAAATGCCAGACAACAAATTTACACTAACTTGTATTAAGTTAGCAATAGAAATAGGCATTAAAAACACAATAAAAGGTAAGATACACACAGAGTACACTTATTACTTACCTTAAAATATTAATATTAATGTGTGAGAGGTAAGTGGCAGGGTGTTTATTGAATAAAATCAGAATGGCACACCATCATCCTCTAACTTGGCACTTAAAGCAATAGGCTTACAACTCTTTTTATCACAGCTAAGCTTAGACGCCATCGTCAGTAAGAGCCAACTAGTTAACGAATGAGTAAACGAGAGAGAGAACGATATACAGAGTTCAGACAATGTAAGAACACAAACTGAACAGGTAGTGGACGATCACTTGGTCAGCTGAAATAGATGCGTATTAATATGTGTCTGCTTTTAGTTCATTCATGTACGTTTGTAAGAGTTTGTAAAACTTTTACCTCACAATATTTTTTTTTATTATAATAATTATCTCAATACAAATACTCTTACATTGTGTATAAGTTGTACAAGTTAGTACAGAATAAACAAACAGCAACACTCCCATTCTCATGCAATGCACCATATTTAGAGTGAAGATGATGATATTATCATCATAATAAAAAAGTGCTAAACCCACAAGGGTTGTGAATTACTATATATAGAGTGAAGGCATACAAAAGGAATATTTTTCTACAGTTATCCCCCAGTGTTTGACTAGAGAAAAATCTTCTGATACTACCTACACAGTCGCTTTGTAAACAAATCTCATATTTACATCAGTTTTTATTCTGGGAGTGTATGTATTATGTTTATAATTTGACATTGCCGTGTTAGCAGAACGCCGTAAGGTGAAACGCCGTAAAGCAGGGCCCTACTGTACTTGTATGGTAAAACTTTGAAAGTTTTGTCCTGAAGAGAATTCAGTACTTATAATATTTGTATGGTTTCCGTGGCTATCATCACAAGTAACGCTGTGTTCCTGTGTTAGGATCAACCTGGTGCTCAGTCACTTGTAATCTGCAGACACACTAGTGAGTGACTCAGTAGTGAAGTGAGACAATAAAAAGCAACAGTAGAGGTGAAGTGAGAGACACTACTGGACAACAGAGTAGTAAAGTGAGAAAATGACAGAGCAACATAGTAGTGGTGAAGTGAGAGACCAATGAATAACAATTACATCTCTAGTGTTTTCTATGAATTACTTCATTTTTTGAATGCAGAGGTCCAGAAAGATACACAAAATTCTTATCCATTTATGAAATTATGTATAATTTTCTAATAGATATATTTACTGTAATGGTATATATAATGTATTTTCTTAAAACATTTCTGTTTTTCATAATATCAGCACCTTGCTTGCAGTTTTATAGTTACTTCATTAGATCTGTATATTGATTTAATATGAGAGCAATTTACCAGTAAATGTTGATTGTGTATGTTCAAGTAACTGGCATTATAGCCTTTAGTAATGCTGATGTACTCTTCTTTATAAGGTAACCTTTCATCTCAAAACGGTAATGGAAGCGGTGGTATCAATTGCTCAATTCGAAGAGTAACATCAGATAAGGGGTGGGGAGAGGTTGAAGTTGGAGCAGGAAATGGTCTGACTATAGCAGCCAAAGCCTTCAGAAACTTTTCCCGTGGTATGTTTGGAAATGGATCTGTCATTACACATTTCACTCCTAATGGACTACGTGTGGGCACAGTCACAAGTAAGTGTTGAATGTCTCTTGATCTTGTACTTGTTCTGATAATTTTAGACATAATTTGTAATTTAGAAAAGTAATACGGCCGGTGTGTTGAAAGAAAGATGTAATATACAGTATTTTACAAACATTATCTCTCCGTCCACAGCAGAGTTCAAACCTGCACACTCACGCTTCTGGGGTCTGGCTGTGTGGCAAAAGTACTGTATACTTCGATGCAGTGTGTGCAGGTTCGAATCCTTCTGTGGACTGAGAGAGAATGTAAATAATTTTGCTCATTTGCAAATTGTTGAGCACTTGGTATTTTGTGTGTATTTTATGTATCATTGTTTATTATATGTACAGTATGCATTTATTTCTTTCCCAGCTTTAGCAAACCAGTTAGATAAGCATACAGTGGGTTATCTGACATGGAAGGCTGGGATGCAGAGTGGCATGAACACAATGATTATTCGTGATACTCCCTTCCAGCATTTAGTGTGCTCTGCATATATTGGTATACCACACACCTATATTGCAGTGTCTTATACTCACAAGATGCCAGAACAGGAATACAAAGTAAAGTTAACGGGCAAGTAAGTGGGTATATTGTTTAAATTATATAGTCTTAAGTTACTTTTAATCTGAAGTGCTTTGCTTCTTAGGGCACAGTACTTGCCCTACTTCTGTTTCTCATTCTTACATGGACATAAATAAAGACATAAACCCTAGTGCTATGGAATGGAGGAAATAAAGACTGAAACAGAACTTTTGTTCTGTTGAACCATTCATTAGAGCAAAAGTTCCGTGTGAGACTTGTGAGTGATAATGTCAGAAGATCTCGCATTCAAGGATCACAACAATGTTGCTGTTGATAAGATACATCATCTTTGAAAGCTTAAGTCAGTCAACAGAAGAACTAGTTATAACACAGACCAATTTCTCAAAATTCACCAGCTCTTTAAATTTGAAGTCACTTAACCCTTTCAGGGTCCAAGGCCCAAATCTGGAGTCACGCACCAGTGTCCAAGAATTTTCAAAAAAAAAATTTGTTATTTTTTCTTATGAAATCGTAGAGAATCTTTTTGTGAAGGTAATAAAACAAAAAGTACGAAATTTGGTGGAAAATTGACGAAATTATGCTCTCGCGAATTTTGATGTGTCAGCGATATTTACGAATCGGCGATTTTGCCGACTTTGACTCCCATTTTAGGCCAATTACATTATTCCAATCAACCAAATTCTTAGCTATTTCACTAGTATTACTTCTATTCTATCGATTGAGCACAAGAAATCGCCAAGTCAACTGTTTCAACTACAAAATAAAGTGATCGGAAATTGTCAATTTGGCCAATTTAACACAAAGTCAAAATATTTCAATTTCAAAATAGGGTCAAGAATAAACAATGTAGGCATTCCTGGCACTAAACTAACATTTCCTCTGTTCGTTAGTTATGTTTTGAGGCTTTACAAATAAATTCCATTTTGATTTTTTATTCACATAATGAATTTTTATTCACACCAAAAAATAGAAGATTTACTGTTATGCAATACTGTAATAAATTGTATAAATATCATCACCATATTTGTGAATGTATATTAGACCCACCAGCTGACGTGTATTAGATGTGTGAGGTCGTTTGTTTACTCTTGAATATCGGCAAAAATTTAACATTTCCGCTACTTTGAGCTCAGTTTCAAGCCATTTCCAGTGCTAAAACCAATCAAAATCATCTCTATTTCTGTAATATGTCTTCCATTCTATCAAATGAGACCAAGAAATCGCAAATACAACTATAAAAAACATACGAAAAAACACTGCAAAGTTGCTGTTTTAATCGAAAAATCATGATTTCAGTTTTTTTCTCTCATTGTACACAGTGTGCTGCAGGATCTGTTTTATGTGGTGCACACATACCACATAGATGTATTCTCTCATATCTAGGCCCAAATGTACCACTCACAGTTTATCAGAGTGAGCTGAGCTCATGGCGTAGATCTACGGTTTGGACACTCACCGTAAAGCCGTAGATCTACGGGACGGACCCTGAAAGGGTTAAAAGTTGGATTCTCAAGTTATTAACATTTAATGAGGCATTCACAAATTATATGCATGAAAACCAGGTTTTCAAGTTTTTTCAGTTTCTTCAATAAAATTAGCACCTCCCCAGCCCTAGAACTATCCAAACAGTTCTGATTTCAGTTCACCAGGATTTAGGATTTGAAGTCGATCAGAAGAGGAATTTCCCAGTTATTGCTCGGAATCCAACAATAGTTTTTTTAATTTTGTTACTGAATTGGCTTAATGCATCTACACAGCCTAAGCTTATAGGGTATCATCCTGTCCATAAGATCCATCTGTCATTAGGGATTGAACCCTCTCAGAAGAGGCATAGTACTTTAGTTATTTAATGAAAAATTTTGCAAATTGGCACCTGTGTATTCCAGTAACAATCCCAACCTCCTCCTAGGTAGCATGCACTGGTGTTGAAAGTTTGAAGCTAATCTAAAGCAGCTTTCCCTAGATACCATATGGAATACAGAATTGGAAATGGTCTATATAAAATTGACCAGAGGATACCTTCACAGTAGTTGTATGAGCTTTTCCCTAGTTACTGTACACCAGCACTGAATATTTGAAGTCGGTCGAATAAGGCATTCTCAGGTTACAAATGGAAACCTTGCTAAAAGAAGAAAATACTGTCAGCCACTTAAAGTTATCCCTTCAGGGATGTTTGATAATTGTAACTTTCCACTGGTTGTATCACTACATCCTCATATCATCCATTCCATCGTTCTACAACTGTGAAGATTTTCTTAAATCCTTTCGGCCAGTATGTAGTTGTGGGATCTTTTTCTTCTGTTGTTGGTGCTAAGACATCTTTCTTAGCTTTTTGTTATATCTTTCGTACTTTTTAGTGCTGAATTCTTCCATTCTAATGCATAATTCACAGGTAACGCGCACTGTAATGCAATTATTCCATTCATGGTATTGTCTTGTATTCTTTAACTCGTGGTTTTTGCTTTTAAAACCCATTTTGTAGCTGGGCTTCATGATTTTTCCATCTTGTATTTGCTGATATCTCACCCCAGCTCTATATTGTAATTTTGGCCTGATATATTATGTGAGCAGTTTTTCTAGTTTTTCTCCATCCATATATCTAAAGACCATTTTAAACTTTATCATTAAAACTTGAATATTTCTCAAATAGTATAATTTCTGTATATTGGTTTTGATAAACCACTAAAAATACACTTATCAGGTTTGTCTTCTGTATCACCAGTTGGAGGACCTTCCTACTTCATTTTGCTCAGTGTAGCTTTCCCTGCCACATTTTAATGAGAGAAGCCATTTTCTACCTTTCATAATCTAATGGATTCTTGTTTTCCATGCAGCCACAGGACTGCCCCAGTGGGCTGGACCTCATTCTTATATCAGGCATCTTCAGATAAGCACCTCCCTTTTCTGTTGTCTATTAAGGGCAGATTTTTGTCTGCTAATGTAGAGTTGGGTAACAGGCTCAGATCAGGTGATAGCACTAGGCCCAATTGTTTATGTAGAGCGAAGGAGTGATAGACTTACCCTGTGTTTAATACAGAGGCCTTGTAGAAAATGGTGTCCTCAGGATATAAAAGTACAGAATTCCATATAGAGGAATGGAGGAGATTGTACAAACTTCTCAAGAAAGGTGCCTTAATGTTGGTAAAGGGACCTTCTGTTTCTTAAACATAATTACTTCCCATTCCAGACAATGTGTGATCCTCATGAGTTTAATATTAACTTTACTATGATAATATAGATCATAAATAGTACATAATATTACAGTTATTGAAGCTAATGACCTATTGAACAAACGCTTCCCACAATTATTATTATTATTATAATCAAGGGGGAAGTGCTAAACTTGTAGAATTATACAACACCTGTGGGGGGGGGGGGGGAGGTGGAAGGTATTCAGGCTTAATTCAGGGAACTGGAGCACAGATCCAATTCCCTAGATCAAGAGCCCCTTACCAGCATCAAGAAACCTTCCTTGAGGGGAGCATCCCATAAACAAAGCTCAGGAGTGGACAGCCAAGCAACTCACTAGCAACAACATTTTGTTAAGTCCCTGTTAGGTATAATGTATCATTATAAGTATTAGTATTAGGCCATGATCAAGGCTTGTGGTACGTATACAGATTGTCTGACGTGTATAAACAAGCCTTTAGCAATATGTAGAGGCTGTTCTTGTATTAGAATTGCTTATTTATTGCACATTATAGGTAAATTCAGTTTTCTTGTTAGAATGAATTTTACGGTTTGAAAATTTTAACACAAGCTGTCTTGAATCAGCGTAGGAGGATTAAAAAAAAAAAAAGTACATATTCACCATCATTCATTCGATAATTATCTTGCCAAAAGTGTGTAGATAATGCAGTTGGTAGAGCTGGGTAGGTTGGTAGACAGCAACCACTCAGCAAGGTACTTCTGTCATGCCATATGAATGTTGAATGGAAATCTGTTAACCTGTTTTACAATGGCAGGATTGCTGATCTCTCTTCTTTTTGTAAACACTAAAGATGGCAGGTAAATTTTACTACTACTGCTACAGGTACACATTCCTATATCCAAAACCCTTGGGGCCAGCAGTGTTTTGAATTTCAGAATGAAGGTGGCATCTAGGGCAGCACCCCATAATCAAACATTAACACTGCAGCAAAAATGTATGAATACTCATACTAAGTGGGATAAATAAAGACTACAAACACTACAACTAGTGATGAAAGAGTACTATGACAGATGGAATTTTTAAAGACTTAACTGATAACACATTTTCACCATATCGTGTATGGGGACTTTTTCACCTGTATTCACAATGTCATCATATCATCATCATCACTTCTGTTCTCATGCTTATTTGTATTTAACACCATTTCTTTAAATCATAAACAGTGGTAGTTCCAACACCATATTCTTCAGTAAGTGGCTGCACTGACACTCCACAATTGAGCTTCTGCAGTAACTCTACTTTCTGCGTTATTGTTAACGTCAGATGCTTCCTTTTCTTTTTCTCGCTGTTACCCATAGGGGTATCTGCAGCTCTTTTTGACATTTTCACAGTGAAATTTAAGTCACAAAATAAAAAGTAAAAACAAAATATCAGCAAACAGCAGACGCACGTGTGAACACTACAGGCACTGAGACACAACTGACGCCTGCCACTCTGGCTCTCAGTGACTTACGCTCCACACTCCATGAAAAAACTTCGGTTTTCGGAACCTTTCGAATTTCCGAATTTTGGATAAAGGATCATGGACCAGTACTACCACTGCTTACATCCAGCAGTAGAAATGGATCCTGCACACAGTACACAGTACATGCAGTCGTGGGTGCATATACGTACAGTATATGTGTATACACACTCGTCTGGGTTTCATTCTAATTTCATAACAATTATTCCTCTTGTAGTGTTTCCTCTAGTTCCATGAAGTGAATTGGAATCCATCATCCATAAGCAGTAAGTAAGGGATTGTTAACCCCTTTATCATATGTAAATTACTAAAAGGGTAAAGAAAAAACAAGAACAAATATTGTGGAATATAGGGGTCCTCG